TGCTAAACAGACTTTAGGCATAATTGCAAGAAAAAAGTGGCCTATTTTGAACAATCTCTTCTATCCCAAGACTGTTCAGCTCAGGAAAACTTGTTTGACATGACAATCTTTCCTCCCTCTAAATGCTAAACTATTGCCATGCCCTGATGGATTTGCTATTATGTTTAATTGGATTTAATGTGAAAAACAAAAATTATTTTTCTATGCAACAAAGCTGATAACTCCCACATTGCAGTTACCAGTCTTTCTCACCAGCATAGGCTCGTCTGTCGGCATCAGCTTCACTTGTAGCCTGTTAAAAAAATGATATGGGAACTTTAGAAAAAAGATAATTACCTAGATCATTAAAAACAGAAAAGTCATTTTGAAGTACTCTAGATCCTACATGACACCGTACCATTTTCCTCCAGGGAAGGTCCCGTTTGCATTTATTGTACCAGGTGAGTAACCTCTTACGGAAATCTTTGATTTCAGCTACATCGCTGAAAGTATGGAATAAACACTGTTGACTGGGTACTTCTGAAACAAAGACAAGCCAGTTATTATTATTATTATTATTATTATTATTATTATTATTATTTTGTAGTGGCCACTTCTATGAACAGTACGGAGCAAGTAAAACTACAAAGAGATGAAAAAATCTGCAACCATCAATTTTTGACAAAGCTGAAAAGAGGTATTTCTTTTGGCATAATCTCCAAATATACTCCAAACTTGTGCCTTTTTAAACCATGGTCAGTAATATAAACACAAATAAACATGCCACATAAAATAAGAATGCATATAGGAAATAAATGAACAAAGAAATCCTTAGATGTCTGCTTGGTCACAAGGATACACAAAGGGTAGTTTGTTCATTCAGAACACAACATAGCACTTCTCTTGACTACATATCCTAAGTATGTTTTTATTCTTTAAAAACCCCACCATGATTAAAAGTCCTTCACAGATATTTCAATGACCTAGATAACTACAGGAAGCTAGAGTGGAAGCGAAGAAAACACATGCTTTCAGTCTGTGTTGTTTGTCTTATACTCCCCAATCCTATATCAAGAACAGTCTAACTTATTAGCAGTTCCCAGAACAAGTGATCCATGAAAGTTTTACAACTCCAGTTCTCCAATTCAGACTTTGAATTTACAACCAAAAGAGAAGCAGAGGAGAGTTCGGCAGTTGTTACTTAAAACTAACCATGAAAACATAGCCAGAAATACTATTTTCTCTTTCTTTTAATATTATATTAATTCTTCTCCTGCTTCATACGCAATATGTTTTTGTAGCCCACCTTTGCTGAGTGTAATGTCATCTTCACATTCAGTTGGTGGTTTCTGCTTCTTTGCAATCTTCTGTTGTGTTCTCAGCTTGGTGCATGTTGACAGTCGACGTTTACTCATTGCCAAGCTAATAATGACAGAGGCCGTGTTACTCTCAGATTAGATTCTTCAAATACAATTTTAGCATTTTGGACACCACTTTGTATATAATGCCCTTCATTCCATCAACACAGGAATCTTTACAAAATTAAAAATGAAATACAGTTTGAGCATACCTTATCTGGGATTCCAAAATTTGAAATCACCCACATGGGTGGCTGAGGCAGTGACACTTTTTGCTTTCTGATGGTTCAGAGAATTTGATTAAATGCATTAAAATATTTAAAATATGAATGACCTTCAGTCTATGTGTTTAAACTTCACATTTGGACTTTGGTTTCAATTCGCATTTATGTACAGGTATCCCAAAGTAAAAAATAAATAAATACGCAATCAAAAACATTTCTGGTCTAAGCATTTCAAGTAGGAGAATTCCAATATGTATAATCCAATCTTAATAATTCTTTTAGGGTTTACATGTGCAACGAAAGTGAAATAACAGAATCCTATGCTATTGAAGAATATTACATCATTTAACAAGGGATATGGACATTAAGGAGCTCCCAGTGGTGCAGCAGGTTAAATCACTGAGCTGCTGAACCTGCTGACTGAGCTCCTGCTTTTAGCCTCAGCTTCTACCAATCTAGCAGTTTGAAAACATGCCAATGTGAGTAGATCAATAGGTACCACTTCGACGGGAAGGTTACGACACTCCATGCAGTCATGTCGGCCACATGACCTTGGAGATGTCTACGAACAACACTGGTTCTTTGGCTTAGAAATGGAGATGAGCACCAACCCCTAGGGTTGGACACGACTAGACTTAATGTCAAGGGGAAACCTTTACCTTACTATGGACATTAAGGGTACAGCTACACTGATGAATTAATGTAGTTTAACTGCTATAGCTCAGTACTGTGGAATCGTGGGGGGTTCTCGTTTTACAAGGCCTGTAGCTTTCTCTGCCAAAGACTGCTGGTGCCTCACCAAACTACATATCCCAGGATGCCATAGCACTGAGCCATGGCAATTTAAATGTAGAGATGCCCCTTAATCTACAGTGTAGAGGTGCCCCTTAATCTACAGTGTAGAGGTGCCCCTTAATCTTCTTTTTCCACTTGCACGTTGTTATGAGACTGTCAAAGCAACTGAATGTTTTCAGTTTAGCCTGATAGTCTTAAGAGTTTGTTTTCCATGTGGATTTTCTGCTGCTTTTGTAATAAACCTGTTTTATTACTTATGCAGTGAGATGACTTTAAAAAAAAGTTCTGTATAAGTACATTGGAAATTACTCAGGCATCAATCCCCATGAACTCAGTGATGCATATTCTCGATAATTAAAGTGTTGCCTTATGAACATGTAATAGAGATTTTACATTACGGTGCTGTTGTAATAATGACTTCAAGAAATGCATTCAAAAAGGGTGCTTTTAATTCCATATGATAGTCAGGGATGAGCTCCAAGCGAATTAAGCATATTCCTACCTCGTGCCTTTGTTGCTATTGCTCCCTCCTCGCTTCGCGCGCCCCACTCGGGAATTCTAAAGCGAGGCAGCGCAGAACCAATCAAAACGAAGCACTGGCTTCCGCGTTTATGTGAACCCATCAAAACGAGGCATGGCTTCCGCATTTCTGAGAACCAATCAAAATGAGGCATGGCTCCAGCCTATCTACCAAGAAAAGACTCAGAAGGTGAAAGGTGAGACTCGCAGAGAGGTAGCAAAAGACTCAGAAGGAGAAGGGCGAGACTCACAGCCCCAGAAATTTAGCAAAAGACTAGAGCTCCACGGGCTTCTGTATAATTCTGTAGATGTATTATTGGCCTCCAAGTTCCTACGAGGATCAACTGCAAGCTGATCATACAGACCCGTGCTTCCCAAACTTTGCACCTTATTTGTGGACTTCAATTCCCAGAAGCCCCAGCAAGGCTGTCCAATGACTGGGAATTCTGGGAAATGTATTCCAAAAACCTGTCACAGCAATGGCTTTGAATTCTGGCTCCTTCCTGGTTGTTTTTTGGGTTGTTTTCATCTACAGGGTGAAAACCCGACCAGTTCATTGGAGCGGTAGAGCATTAATGTGTTTTGAGGGTGCAAAGTACTTCCTTTCCCAACGAAGCATGGCCAGGAGCTCATCCTGCCTCCTTTTTTGTAAGCAGCTCTACTTTCCTTGAGTGAGACATGAATACTGACCTGCTTTTTTAAGGTGGGGAAGCATAGCTACCCTGAAATAGAAAGATTATAAATTTTGCAGCTTTGATGTGAGACTGAAGTTATGAGGGAGTTGGGGACGACAGTTGCGAGAACATAAGGCATGCACCTAGACAGCTAAACGCAAGGGCCGACAGGAGGGAAGGACCCCGCAGCGCGCGGCGCACCGGAAGTTGGCGCACTTGGTGGGAAAGAAGATGGCGGCCTTGTAGAGACACCTGTTCGCCACAGGAGGGATCTTCCTTGGCAGAGGAAGGTGACAGAACGTATGGACTGGTTTGCAAAAAAAGTAGCCGTTTTAGGGCCTTTCCACACAGCCATATAACCCAGAATATCAAGGCAGGAAATCTCACAATATCTGTTTTGAACTGGATTATCTGAGTCCACACTGCCATACACCCCACTTCAGAGCAGATATTGTGGGGATTTTCTACCTTGATATTCTGGGTTATATGGCTTTGTGGAAAGGCCAGAAAACGGCTACTTCTTTATATGAGTGTGGACTCAGATGACCCAGTTCAAAGCAGATACTGTCGGATTTTCAGCCTTGGTATTCTGGGATATACGGATGTGTGGAAAGGCCCTTAGTCTCTTGCAGCAGAAAAAGGAGGGGAGGAAAACGGGTGCAACAGAACTTTTAAGACTGATTGGTTTTTATTTTAGCATCAGTTTTCGTGGATATAAGGCCACTTCTTAGGATGCAGCATAGAATTCTATGAAAGTCCCAATCATACAGTTTTGGAAGTGGGATGGGATAGAACAGGTCCCATCTGTGAACCGGTGCGAACTCTTAAAATCTTCTGGGGATGCCCTCCTTTCGCTCCCACCACCATCACAAGTACGGCCCTCCTGCCTCTGGAATGCCCTTCCAAGGGAAATAAGACAGGCCCCATCACTCCCCTCCTTTTGTAAGAGCTTGAAGACCTGGTGGTTTCAACAAGCCTTTGAGAATGACCAGTTCTAGTCCAGCTCCAAACATTGTTGAATATGGCCTTGCATTTCTTACCTATTATCCCGGTCATCCCTCTAATAGGCCCTGAAAATGAGCAGCCACAGACCCATAGCCTATTATAGCACTGTACTTAGATCCTGGCCCCCTCATATTTTGAGTATGCACTAGCCTTGGCCCGGCTTTTTAATTMCTATGAACAGGCAGGATTACATTTAATGTACATGTGTTATTGTGATAATTTTTATGCTTATGTTGTTTTGTTAATTTTATGTTATGCTGTTTACTTTGTATGTTTCAGTGATGTTACTTGGAAACTGCCCTGAGTCTCCCTCAGAGAGATAGAGCGGTATATAAATAAAGTATTATTATTATTATTATTATTATTATTATTATTATTATTATTATTATTGGATCCAGAAAGACCTAAATTTTCAAAGGTGGTCAAGGTGTTTTGTATCTTTCCAGTGAGCAGCATCTACCCGTTTGATACCACGTTAACTGCCATGTTCAAAAACTATAGAATCGTGGGAGTTACAGTTTTACTGTAGTTTGCTTTGCCAATTAATGCTGGTGCAGGTGCATTCAGTGTCAATGAGTGAAATCAAATTCCAGCCCATTCGCAGAGGCATGGACAAAGACAACGGCTTTATTGCGCATTAATTGCTCCTGTAGATACAACAACAGGAATCTCCTTGGGGAAACTGACTTTTGGTGAGTAGATTTGTTGCTCTCACAAATCAAGCTAACCAACCACTGTAGAGATCTGAAAAAAATAGTACAATCTTGCTCAGCCTCTGAAAATTTAGGGCAAGGGACATGATTTGAATATTTTTTATCACATTCCCAAAACTATATAAATATTTTATACTTAAGATTTGCTAGTAGTAGTTTCGTTTCTCTTAATCACAGGTTCTGTTTGCATGGTTTCTGAATTTTTAAAATATTACATGTCTTCTGTCTAACAGCTGTGTGAGAATGGCTTCCTTGAAGGTACCAGTCATTGATGTCCAGAATGATAATTTCAAAGAACTCTGGCCATCCATGCTCCTGGCCATCCAAACGTCTAGCTTTGTAGCTGTTGACACGGTGAGTAAAGTTGCTTCCCTGTATTTACTAACAGGGACACTATGTGCAGTAAGATCTCAAGAGTTGTGTGGTTGTTTTTTGAATGGTGATTAGACAGCCATTATTTGGGAATGTAGGCATGGTGTTCTTCAGCTGATTTCTTCGAGGCTTCTTCCACTTACTGGAAAGTGGTGTTTTGGAAAGTAATATGAATGCAGAAAATAACCTTAGGGTTTAGTTGGGTATGTGGTTTTTTTCTTCACTTATTTGAAGACAGTTGCCTCTATGTGCAGGGGAACAATAGCATGTCCTCTGTACCAAGTCTTGGAGAATCGGTTATCCTTCTAACTCAATATTGTCTATAGTAAGTCTTTGGTGTTTCAGGCAGAAGTGTTTTCCAACCCTATCTGGAATATCAGAGGTTGAACTTGGGAAAATTTGCATGTGCATACCGCTGACCTACATCCTCCCCTAATCCATTGTTCATAGTTGCATATCTTACAACACCAGGCAGTGAAAGTTTAACTGTTATTCTTCTCTGTAGGAACTTAGTGGACTTGGATCAAGGAAGAGTTTGTTGAACCAGTAAGTAATACACTAAATGTAAATGTTTCCCTTCTGTTGTAGTTTCCCTGTTTGTTTTAATCAGGGAGATTTTCATCTTGGTGGACCCTTCTTTTCAAAGATTCCCCTAAATGCAATTGCTAATTGGTTGCCACCCATCAGGATGAACCTTTTCACTTACTGAGAAATTGAGGGGTCTTCTTCTGTCTCCCACCATTGTGGGAAAATATAGGAGAGGGCCTTCTTGCAGTGAATATACCATTGTAGAATGCTCTCCCTTTGGAGGTCTATACTGATTTGGCATCTGTACTGATTTCTTTCTGATACCAAGTAAAAGCGTGGCTTTTTATTCAAGCCTTAGTTGCCTAAGTTTTTTCTTCCAAAATTTAACTCTACAGGGTTTTTAACTGTTTTAATTTGTTCAGTTGTTTAGTATTTTTAGTCAATGTAAATTATTGTTATTGTTTTAGTCTGTGGTGTCTTTTATTCTGTGTAAATTATTAATTATTTATTATAAAAAGAGCTCAAATTCTGAATGTACATTAGAGAATAATATCTGAAATAAACCTATTCCACTTTCCTTGCAGGCCACTTATTTATCAAATATTCTAATGGGTACTGTTGAGCTGCATCAGAATATAGGGATTTGCCACAGTTGTGGACTAAATTGTGCACAGAGTGTCCACAGAATGTTCTTAGGAATCTTCCTCTGGCTCCTCCCCTTAGCTCTCAAGAGTTGCTTCAACATACTTCATTGGGTATCTATTGTGTAGTGTTTCTATTTTGTGTTATTTAAGATGCGATTCAAAAATTATTCCACTTGTGGATGTCATCCCCAAGTGCATGATGTTGTCCAATTGAATGGGAAGGAGAAGCCTGTTATAGAAGTAAGAAAGTCTAAGTAATCTAGGACAGAATGATCCCATCATTAAGTTTACTTCCTACTAAGCTGAGTGATGCTTCTCCCACAGATGTATTGAAGAGCGCTACAAGGCTGTTTGTACTGCTGCCCGAACACGCTCCATTTTATCTCTTGGAATTGCTTGTTTCAAGCAGCAACTTGACAAGGTATGGTGCTCGGTTTGTCATTTTTTCACTTCATTGTTAGTGAGTTAAATGTATGTTCAAGCTGAGACATTGATGTGGAGAACCTTAAGAATAATCCCCAAAAGAATGAATGTATATAACGACTAGCTTTGTTTTTAAATTAATAAAGGAAACGTATAGACTTTTAGGAAGTAACTATTGCTCTTTTTCTGTTCTCTTCTCCTTTTCATGGGCTAACATATGTTTTCAGACAGAAAACACATACCTTTCCCAAATCTACAATCTGACCCTGCTTTGCATGGAGGATTATGTCATTGAACCACAATCAGTTCAGTTCCTGGTACAACATGGCTTTGACTTCAACAAACAGTATTCTCAGGGGATTCCCTATCATAGGGGCAATGACAAGGTATGAGGGCTCCATTGAGATGTATTTTTATTTAATTAGTTGAATGTTTTAATTCTAGTGTTTACTATTAGGTGTCTTGAATACAAATGGGAATAGTCTTTTACAAATAAGTACTTGGAAAAAAACCCAGTGTGGTCTTATTCAGTTAGCATCCTAGATGAATGTTTTACTCCATAGCATGGTTGCTAAAAGATGTATTTTCATCTGAGCCAGAATATTAGATGTTGAGTTTATTCTAATCCATGTTTTTTAACAGAAAAACTCTGTGGTGCAGGGGTGGGCTAAATAAAGTGTGTTCACATGACTATTTCATGCCCAGGAGAGGTATTTTTTTAGAAACAGAACATGACTGGGGAGGGGGGTCGAATTCTTGCAGTGGGATATGTCTCTCTCCAAGCTCTCCTGGGAGGCCAATGTGGCCCTTCAGCCTTTAGACTGACCCCTGTTATCAGTCTGAGAACTCAACCCACAGCATCACGTTAAGGAATTTTAGGACCAGCCCTCCTCAATACAATATACAAAATAAATGCAACAGAGCCCAGAATATAACAAAGGAAACAAAACATCCCCTGGTCATTGTTTGCCACCAGTTAAAGCACTGGCAAGAATAACATATAGGAAACCCCATATACGAAGCCCACCATTTTCAATAGGGTTTCCAATCAATGCCTCTGAAAAATACTATCACTAGTTAGCTCTTTGGTCCCAACATGTCATAAGGAAGTTGAAGCAGGCTTGTTTTCTGTTACCCTGGAGACTAGGACTCAAAGCAATGGGTTCAAATTACAGGAAAGGAGATTCCATCTGAACATTAGGAAGTACTTCCTGATTGTAAGACCCTATTCAACAGTGGGACCTACTGCCTCGGGGTGTGGTGGAAGCTCCTTCCTTCGAGGCATTTACACAGAGGCTGACTGACCATCGGTTGGGGGTACTTTGATTGTGCTTTTTCCTGCATGGCAGGGAGTTGGACTGGATGGTCTTGGGGTCTCTTCCAACTCTATTATTCTGTAATCCTGACTGTTTTTCTCAACGAGTGGAATGAGTGTCTTATAGACTGACAACAGCGGTGTGCAACTGTCCAGGGCTAAAGGGCCATACTGGCCTCCCAGGAGACCTTGGAGAGAGACATATCCCACCCACTGCAAGAAGACTTCTGACAGAGAAGTGATTCTCATAATAGGAAAGCTCATGTATGCCTTAGAGATGGAATTTACTTACTCTCTTCCTCCTTCTCCCATCCAAGGGAAATGAAAATGAGAGCCAGACTGTCCGTACTTTTTTCCTGGAACTGATTAAGGCTCGAAAGCCTCTCATCCTACATAATGGCCTAATCGATTTGGTCTTCTTGTACCAGTGTTTCTATGCTCAGCTACCTGATAACTTGGGTACCTTTACTGGTGACCTTTCAGAGATGTTCCCAGCTGGTATCTATGACACCAAGTATGCTTCTGAGTTTGAGACACGTTTTGTGGCTTCTTACTTAGAGTATGCCTACAAAAAGTGGTAAGTGTTTCTATTTGGGTGAAACTTTCACAATCTGGCAGGGATTTCTGGAATAGGTTTGGGGTCAGGTCTGCTTCTGTGTTGCTTGCCGGATTGTGCAAGAACATCATCTGATTCTCAAATGAATGGTTTGGTGCAAGAGAAGAATTAAGATGTCTGTAGTTAGCCAGCTGTTATTTAGTCACTAGCAGTCTTACTCCCCTGGCACATGGAGGAATTTTGGATGGGAAAAATTGATCCTTCACTTTATTTTGCACTACCAGAAGTGGTCTTGTTGTAAAATTGTACTGCCATCTAAGTAGTACTTCTCAGTTTGTCTGATGTGGGAAACCAGTAATATATTTCTGCCCATTGGGAATTGCTCCTCCCCACCTCACCCCAGTAAACCAGTCAAGGACTGGTAGTCAGTGGCTCAGAGACACACTGGTCCAGGGCCATTATTTTGAGCTGCACTGCTCTAAAGGAGGAAGCATATTTTATTTTCTGATTTCTGTTTCTACCATTTTCCGCCTGTACGCTTTAGATTGTGGTGGCTAGCTTGGAGTCCTTTAGATGTTGTCTGTGTTCGGCTCCCAGTATCCCTCGTCATTGGCTGGACTAGGATTCTGACATCATCTGGAGGGTCACAAATTACCCTGATTCTGGATAGAGTAATAACAAATTCTGAAGGCAGTTGATTTTCTTCTAGTTTTAATGCAGTTCTTCTGTTTCAGCAAGCGAGAAAATTGCCGATTGAAAGACTCCAAGAAGGAGCACCTCACCATAGAGTTCTGCAACTACCCTGCCAGCATAGCTTCCTATATTGACTACCGCCTCTGTTCTTTGTCTGATAACAGCCAACCTGGAAATGACACTGTAAATAAAGTCACTATCTGCCAGACATTTTCTGTAAGTCTCCCTCTCCTTTGCTTCCCATAGTTTAAAGTGGTGAGGAACTTCTTTGAGAGGTTCTGGGATGTCAGTTCCCATCACCCTTCCTGCTGGCTAGGTTTGGTGGGAGTTGCAGTCACATGTTATCTTAAGGACCACAAATTGCTTGTTAAAATCATAATCTTTTCAGATTCTTAAAAGATCCGGAGTGGTGTGATGATTAAATCCAGATCCAGTTTCCCACTGGGTAACCTTCACCCAGTAACACTATTGGTTTTATCATCTCATTGCATTATTTTAAAGATAAAGTGTATGCCAGCTTGAATTCATTGCAGAAAAGTGGGGTATAAATAAATAACATGCTTCTCAGGGTAGTTTGGATATAGCTGATTCTGTATTGTTTATTCTGCAGTAAGGACATTCTGACTGGTGAATCATTACAAGATGAGATCTTTTTCTTGGATACTCGGGTACTGCTTTTAAAATATTAGGAATATATGGGATGTGTAGTGGGCCCTCTGGTGGCGCAGTGGGTTAAACCGCTGAGCTGATGAACTCGCTGACTGGCAGTTCAAATCCGGGGAGCAGGGTGAGCTCCTGCTGCTAGTCCCAGCTTCTGCCAACCTAGATGTTTGAAAACATGCAAATATGCGTAGATCAATAGGTACCACTTTTGCAGGAAAGTAACGGTGCCCCATGCAGTCATGCCAGCCACATGACTTTGGAGGTGTCTAGGAACAATGCTGGCTCTTTGGCTTAGAAATTGAGATTAGCATCACCCCTGAGTCGGACATGACTAGACTTAATGTCAGGGGAAACCGTTACCTTATGGAATGTCTGACCCAACCATTGTGGTATAGATAGTCCTTAATATTATTTTAGTCCTGCTGTTCTCCAGGGAATCAGACTGCTGTGATTTCAGTCACATAAATGCTTAAGAGTTTGAAGTACTCTAGTCCAATGCAAATACTTTCTCAACTCTGCTAATGGTTTTCACCCTCCCACGCAGGCCTACGGCTGGTGCCCAGATGGGCCAAGGTGTTCACAGTCCCACAACATTGAACTAATAATTACTGAAGATGAAAATCACAAAGAGGGGAAAAGGAAGAAGAGAAAGCCGAGATGGAGGCATCGGAAGATTGCTGCAGATCCTTCTAACAAACCTGAGTTGGAAAGAGCTGAGAAGAATGGGAGGGAATCTTGCAACATGGAAGATGGGCCACCCTCCAAACAGACGTGTCCTAGCAGCACTACTGCTGCTGCGGACAGTGTAGGGACAGGACCTACCTCCAGCAATGAGGAGAGTTTTATGGATGTGGAACGGGATAGTGCGGGTGATACAAAAATGGATGAAGAACAAATCAATTTGGCAGACAGTGAGGACTCCACTTCCTCACCCTCCCGAGATGGTGAACAGAAGGAGGGAACAGGGCCTGAAGGAACAAAGCCCAGGGCCGAAGTCGAGAGTGCATTGGCAACGGAGTACTTACCGGGCACAGACAACCCAGCAGTGTCTCTGTCTTGCAGTTCAGAGGGAGGTATCCACAGGGCTGGGTTTGATGCCTTCATGACAGGTTACATAATGGCATATGTACATATGCTCAAGAGTGATGAACACACAGGCTCAAATGAAGGGCTGTGGCTGCCGGATTGTCACAACAAACTGTACCTCAGTGGGAAGTCGGTGCCACTTCAGATTGTAAAAAGTTTATTTGCAAAACCCTCCAGAGGTCACAGCCAGAAGATGAAATTGGCCTCGCTCAGTATGTAAGACAAGGAGACTTCCTATGGCAGACGGCACATGAGAGCAACTTCTAGCCACAGTCCTCAAACTACCTAGTAGCTACTTGGGATAGCAGGTATAAGAAACCAAATGCTTGTATCTGATTTAGTTTTTTTAAAAATATGAAAAATTAAATAACGTTATACAAGTTTTTATTTAATTGTTTATTGATAGTTTATATATATTCATAAAGCTAGGAAAAAAAAAATAAGAACTTCCTGAAATGAATAATATAGGCTCTAATTTATATCAGCCCCCGGTGGCACAGTGGATTAAACCGCAGAGCTGCTAAACTTGCTAATCTAAAGGTCACAGGTTCAAATCCGGGAAGCGGTGTGATCTCCCACTGTTAGCCCCAGCTTCTGCCAACCTAACAGTTTGAGAACATGCAAATATGAGATCAATACGTATTGCTCCGGCAGAAAGGTAATGGCGCTCCATGCAGTCATGATGGCCACATGACCTTGGAGGTGTCTATGGACAACGCCGGCTCTTCGGCTTAGAAATGGAGATGAGCACCAACCCCCAGAGTCAGACATGGCTGGACTTAATGTCAGGGGAAAACTTTTACCTAATATAGTTCACCCATTCAAATAGCATATGAGAACTGGCAGCAGGGTCCAGGAGCACCACGTTTTCTCTTATTATCATAAGGGGACAAAATGGCTGGCATAGATTGGCAACATTGTAGTGATTAAATTATACAGAATTTTGCTTCTATCCTGTTTCCCTATGTAATTCTAGGTTTTCTTTTTAATTTTAACATATACTAAATAGTAAACATAGCTCTGCTGAACACACTCACTAAACTTGGTTCTTCAGTTTCCCAACTTTATTGATGAAAGTGATCTTGCAAAGTTTTCAAAAAGCATGTGACTGATTTACATTTTCTAAATAAGATTTAGCAGTCATCTGATGCAGTTAGGTAATTGGCCAAAGAACAGGAGGAAGGGAAAAAAAGGTATGAAACAGTCTGGTTTCATTGGGATTCAAAATTGGACTAATATTATAAACCAGATTTTCTCAAACTGCACCTCCAGATGTTTTGGACTTCAACTCCCACAGTTCCTAACAGCTGGCAAACTGGCTGGGAATTCTGGGAGCTGAAGTCCGAAACACTTGGACGAACACAGTTTGGGAAACAACCACTATAAACTAATAAATGATACAGAATGAGAAATTAGTGAGAAAATCACAAAATTAACAGATAGCACCAGACGGATTAAGCAAGTGAGATACTGCCAAGAGGCCGAACTACAAATGTAAAATTATGTACAGCAAGGTATACACTCTTGAGTTGATCATGGTAGAGTCTAGACTGGTATTGAGTAGCCAAGGAGGAAATCTTATAGTCTGGTGGATAGTTCAATGATATGGTCAATTCAGCAACAGTGGGAGGCAGGAAATCCATGTTGGGGATTATTGTGAAAAGGGGTTTTATTTATTTATTTTATGCCTCTTTTCTCTCATGGGTGGGATTCAAAGCTGTTGAAAATATAACTGCTAATATCAAAATACATTTATATACATTTTAGCACAGTCATACCTTATTTCTTAAGCTGGAAGAGAAAGTTACCACTCAAGGAACTATTTGTGCAAAGCAACCCCCCCCCTCCCAAAGAATCCAAGGTATTTTTTGCTTAGTTATCTTTTCCTATAACGACATTTTATTGGGATAAGAGTGATAATATTTTTCCACTACAGAAGAGAAACAAGTATCAGTTTGTAAAAGTGGTTGATTTGGGGAAGGAGCATGAAAGTGTTAAATACGTAATTAACCTATGAATTTATGGAGACGGGGATTAATAGTTCATTTATCCAAAAAAAAAAAAAAAGAAAAAAAAAGAATCCCATCTCCATATACCTCTGAATCCCATTTTTTTTAGAACTAATGCCTACGCTCTTCATGGCTTTGTGAAATAATTTACTAAATCCTACAGAAAACTGGATGCTGGCACTTCATAGAGTTCGAAGTTGAGGCAGCAGGCCTTTTATGACTATGTTTGTATGCATATTAAAAATAAAGCATTGCTACATAGGAAAAATACACTTTCTATACCAGGTGCTTTAGATTATCTTTCAGAAGAAGGAACTGGCAAAACTACTACTGAATATTCCTTGCCTAAGAAACCCCAAGAAATTCATGAAGTTGACATAAGTTGACAGGCAACTTGAAGGCACACACACAAGTAATATAATTTCAAGATGAGTACTAGGAAATGTGATGGACTGGCTTGTAGAAGTGTCTTGAAGAACATTATCAGGATCCTTACAACATATAGTAACCACATTTCTATTTATATGATTAAGAATTTTGAAGCAAGTCAAAACTACATAAAGGAACATTATTGAGATCAGGAATGTTAACCAAGAGAGAAGTCTATCATCTTCCTCAAAAAAACGATTAAGTATATTACAAAGCTGCATGCAAGGCATGAGAAAATAATACCATGTAACATTATTTTTTTTGTTCCTGAGTTATAAATGTCATTTCCTAATTGGTTCTATCATAAAGAAGGAAAATGTTTATTAAACTGCAAAAACTGTTTTTGTGAGACATCCTGCAGCACATTTTGCTATAGTTTTTCAATGAATATCTCCAGAGTCTCAACCAATTCAACATAGTATGTGGCACCCACAAAAAGCAAGTGAGTATAACAACTACTTTAAAAGAAAATACCTCACAATTAAACAGGAAATAATACTTTCAAACTAGGAACATTTTTTTTCAAATTTTGTTGCATAGTGTAATAGCATCACTGCCCTTCATTATCCATTTGTAATTTGCAATGGGTATACTTCAAAGGTTTTAGAACGTATGTATTACATTCATTTTTGTTTTCTCCTTTACTCCATCTTTTCAACAGCAAAGGTAAATTTATTGGTTTTTATTTGGAAAGCAAATTGGGAAACAATTTACAAAAACTGACAAAACATACGCAAATACTAGATTCATCTTTGGTTACTTATTTCAGTTCCAGTAAAACATACCATTTATGTAGTTAAGAGTAAAGTCAGAAAAAGTAAATCAACATAAAAACTCAAGATTTGCTTCTTTACATATTCATAAATATTCGCAATATTAGAAAAAAGTTTTGCAAAAATTCTTCTCTGGCAGTATTAAATTATGCACAGGCTACAAACTTTTTTCTAAGTTTTAATGACAAAGTTTTAGCTATTTACAGACTGCAAATATTAAGACATAAAATTCCTTCATAAATATGAAAATAGATCTTGCACAGATCTTTAAACCTTAATCAAATATTTGGCTGCCCCAAAGGTTATTTTTTGCATAGAAATGTAGTGACATGCAGTATAAACAGCAGCATTAAGTGCAAAGAGGAATTATTCAAGTGTCTGTAGTTAAACTGGCAAGGAACACCAGTGTTCTTGGACAAAATACAGCAACCAAGAATAAACCTATTGTGTCCCCACCTTCTCCTGGGGCAGCAATTTGTTACATTTATTCACACAATCTTCGTTCACCAATCAGCCACATGTATAACTTCTAATAGGCATTTAATAAACTCAGTGAATTAAAAACAGTTGGGGGGATCTTAGAAGTGTCTGCAGGTGGCTTATAAAAGCAAGCTGCATCTTTGTCATCAAATCAACACCATGATAAAGGCAACACTATTCACTACTGTGTTCGTACAAAGCATTGTAGAACCATGTTCTGTACTGAGCACGACTAATGGCCAACAGATGATCTGAAATACTGGCTTGGAGAATGCACAGGTAAGATGCCAGGGGCTCTTACCTGTTGCACAAGGGGACGGTATACATTTTGTTTTAATCACATCACAAAAGAATTGGCATTCACCAAGGCTCTTTTAAAAGCCAACCTCTTTCCATCACAATACAAACAGGGAATACTTCATACTTTCTATGTTAAAATAAGGAACCCCACCTAAAGCTCAGCATTCTGGTGTGAATGTAGAGCAGTGACATAAGTTTGTCCTGCTTCCATTTTGGGGTGTACAGAGAAAAGACCTCATGTAAAAGGAAAATACACAAAGGAGGAAGTAAGGTCAGGGCGGAGGCCACTTGTTCCAAACGGTGCCTTTTGATTCACCATCAGCCTTTCAACGTGTAATAAGAGCACTATTAAAACATCAAAAGGCTACAAGATTATTAGAGGCCTCGCAGCAAAGCCATAGAGCAGACATGGGCTTTCACAATCTCCAAAGCAGACCCAAATTCTCAAGTCAACATTTCAACATCCATACACCAAACTATTTTGCTGGTGCCAAATTTAAACTGTGTCTGAAAAGTGTTCAGAAATAAGCTGGTAACTCAGATACTTTTCCAATACTCATCTAAAAAAATATTACATGGGCTCTCTTTGGCTGTTTCTGAAAGAGATAACAAATGGTACTGCTTTAGAAATCTATGTTAATGTATGGCGAAAGGATAATCATTCTTAGTTCCAGATGCAAGGGTATCAAGGACTATATAAAGTACAGATATGTTTACTACTGATAAGTTTTCAACAAGTGAACGTTATCTGCTCTTACAGGATTTCAGTATTGCTCTGTGATTTCCATATTATTGCTTGATATTTAAATGGATTTTCACTTATTCTATAGTTCATTTTTGAGGGATGAAAAGGAAAGGGAGGCAAGCACGGCTTTTATTTTCCTCCCCATAGGGGAGTTCTCACTAGTCTAATATATTAAAATATGGGATCAAAGGCATTCCTCATATAGAATTCAAACTAACCTCTCTACTTTTGGGCATTCAGGACTGGTCTGGATTCTGAGTAGAAGTTACATACAAAATGGGCATGCTATTCTTCCTTCAGCCTGAGTTCAAATCTAAGACGCAAACAAGCGAATCCTCTCCATTAGAGGGAACTCAGGTGGATTCAAAATGGGATTATAAAACCTATAAATATAAACTGTGTTTCTAAATGTGCACACATCTACCCAGTGTGACAGGCCAAAACAGAAAATGACTGAAAATGTTGCAGACAGCTAGACTTCAAGAACATGTTGCTAAGGAGAGGTGGGCTTACTTTAGAATTTCATATTGATATTTGTAGAGTTATTCTGCCTCATTACTTCTACAACACAGAATAGAGATACCTAAGATATGTGAATATACTGTTGTTGAACTTTTTTGCAACAGGAGCTCATTAGATTGATTGAACATTACCTGTATAACAGCTATTATTGCTTAGGGAAAATGGGAAAGTTATAAGTTTAAAGCATGGCCAAAGCAAATTGTAATTGGCCAAATGATGTCCTGAAGTAGGGTTCTAAGCTATTCACTAAGCAAGTGTTTAAAACTAGACTGGATGAATTAAGAAGTTTAACTACTGCAACCAAATCCAACTTTGTTTATGGAATACAAGGAAACTTTTGCCTTGTTCCTTCATTAGAGAAACAAGGAGCTATCATCTCCCTGTCCATCTAGAGCAAATATGGAAATAAGCGGCCCTCCAAATCTAAGCAGTACGGTTAACAGGCAGAGGCAACTGATGTAAAATAACTGGTTTCCCACCCAGATCTAGAATATCACTGCATTGCCCATTTCAAACCTCTTACAAGCAACAGAAGCTGTCATTTATATTTGCTCAGCAGTTGCCAAGGAGAAAGGCAAACTCAAAATGAGGGATACCTGAAATGAAATGTCACTACCAGGTTTGGAAGCATTCTTTCAGTAGAGACTAAGAATTCCTTTAACAAAACGGAAAGACATGTATGAATGGGGGGAGGAAGGGGGCTTCTAATAGGTTTGTCCCTGATTCCATCTGTTTCAGAATTATAAACCTATGGTATCCCATGTAGGTTCTGTCTACAGTAGCTGCCTCCTATGGTATGCTATGAGATTCTCTTACATGCTCTCATACACATGTAGTCTCTCCAAATACATGTTGGGAGTTTCCAAATGGTGGTATTGCTACAAATTCCTAGAGCACTCTGACATAGAAATTAAAACCAAAGCTGTTGGAAGGAGTTTCTTTTAACCATAGTATCATAGCTAGGCTTTAAATGTCACATTTTGACTGCTCGCTTACTGGTGCTGGTGCATTTGAAGATGGAAGAGAAACCACATTTGAGGGGTCACTATCCACTGCTTCAAAAAGAGAAGAAGACATTCTGCCTGGTTGTGGGGAAGAATTAGCACTAAACAACAGTTTGGAAGACTCCAACTTAGTGGAAGGCATATTCCTTTGAGTTTCATCTTCTACCTCCATATCTTCAGAGGTGGCACAGCTCATGAACATCTCTGAGGATCTATCTTCTGAACAGTCTAAATCCTGTACCAAGAGGCCACCTGCATTCTGGGCATCTTGCAGAATGTGTCCCATAGTCTGCCTGAGTTCGGGTTCCTCTAGTGAAGTTTTAAGAGGGCAATATCCATTTTCTTCTTGGGACTGTAATCCATCAGAGCAATCCATCTCTTCCTCTTGAAGAAAAGAAGAAGACTCTTGCCTATGATGTTTGGCTTGAAAAGGAGGGATCTCAGACACACCATACTTATTACTGCTCAGTAGCTTCTGCCGCACTTCAGCCCCCAACTGGCTGGGATCACACCTACTAACAGTTGCAGAGAGATCCACAAATGTACTATAACCTTTATGTACAAATTCAGGAGAGACTGGGAGTGATCTACTCCGTCTTCCAGGAGCGAAAGAGGATTCTTGCCAGTCAATGCCGTACGATGGCCTAAACTGTGGTTGGCTCATCTTCAGACACCCTGGGGAATGCAAGTCAAATACAAGGGATATCACAGATTTGCTTGGCATGTCAAAAAATTTGATCTTTCCCCCTTTTAAGTCTTCCCTAGAATTGAAGGGGTTGACTTTGCGGTTTGCTCCTTTGCTTGGTGTGTAGTAGGGGTCCTGCACATTTATTTTGCGACAAGGCTTTCGAGAGAAGATATCTGACTGACTGCGTGACAACCAGATGTTGCGCCTTGGACGGGGAGACTTAGGTGGGATCTTGTCATCCAGTGAACTTAGTCTTTTGACGCCTTGTCCTCTCTCTAGTAATCCTAAAAAAAGAAAAAGAAAAAAAAGCTTTAAGGTTGGTGTTAGTAACTTAGCAGGGATCATACAGGTGCAGGGAAAGACTGCCAACATGCTTGTGATATTTTTATAACTCCTTCAGAAACACACATACACACTTGGAAAATGCATGAATTCTCCATCAAAGGAAATGCTTCATTCCCAGATGATTCTTCCTCAAAATAAGAGGGAAGAAAAGATCAAATACAGAGTATATATCCCAATCAATAATATAGAATTTCAGATCTTCCAGATATTGATCTGACATCTGCTTATTGAACATCTTTTATCTAAAAGGATTCAAGATGAGTTTCACTCTGCATAAAGCCCTTAGTGAGGTCGCAGCCACTGACGTAATTGCTTTCTCTTTCGATAGTGTTACATATTCTGTATGGGGGCAAGTTTATTCAAATGCCCAATATGACAGGAGATATATTTTTTCCAAATGTCATGTGTGCCTTGTGCACTAGTAGATTCTTCCCAAGAGTCTGAGTTTAAGAAGACATTAGCCATTTAATACAGGAATAGTATGAATCCCTTACATTAAAGGCTGATGTTTTCAAGAAGCGACCTTTCCTTAGAGCAAAGACACCCTTGTGCTGTGAAAGATAAAAGCAAACACTAATACTTCCCTCTGGAAGTGAACAGTTATATTCCACCTCAGTCTTGAAACAGCACATTGTCCAGTGCAGAAACTAGGATACACAGCACTTGGGGGCAAAATCTGTTAAATACATTTAGACATTGCATCACTAAACAAAATGACCACAAATAGAGAGTTCAAAGGAAATGGTGTCTTGCCATAAAACTGCTTCCTCTAAAAAATTATGCAAAAAGAAAGAAAATAAAAGATTAGATTTTTTTTTACTTCAGTTTTCAGAGGACACCAGGTGGCAGTGTAAAGCTTTACAGCAGGGGTTCTCAAACTTTTTCAGCTGCCTGTTGTGGTGCCCCAAGAAATGTTTATATATTCTATATAATGTATATATATCAGGCATGTACAAGCTTTTTAACCAACATAAATGTAATAGTATTTCAATAAAAGATCTCAGAGGCCATCCAGTCCAACCCCCTTCTGCCATGCAGGAAAAGCACAATCAAAGCACCCTCTGAGCGGTGGGAAGGAAATAAGGCTTTGAAAGCAAGCAAGGAGAGGGGGAAAGGATCTGGACAACAAGGGCAAAAAGGCTTGTGGTGGCAAGGGGGCCAAGGGGAAAGGCTTTTGGTGGCAAGGGAGGCAGATTGATCCCTGCTTTACAGGGATGTCTATGTAATTCAGTTAGGCCAAAGGTCTGTTATTTTCTCCATGCCTCTGTTTCTAAATGCAACACAGAGAACCTGAAATTAATTGGTACTAATCTAGAGGTTACTTGGGCAAACTTGTGTCAAAATGAATTTCACACACAGGTATCAAGGTTACTCGTTCTGTGCAATGTCAAAGGCAGCTGTTTATGTAATATCTCTCTATGTTTTTTAACATTTGAGTGAATGAGGTACAATGCAGAAACTTTGAATCCAGTTGAAAGCTACCATACCTGCTTTTTGCCACCACACCATTGAACACAAAGATTGACTATTGTGTCCAGCAGTGTGTGGTGATGGCAGGAAGGATCTAAAACAGCCTTAATCCTGCTCCTAGTTCACCCCACCTGGATACATTTAACAAATAAAAGTTTTTCTTTCATTGTGCTGAGAAAACTTAAGTTCAGATACTGTAGGATTTGTGTGACTTGAGAAACTGCATGTTGCTTCTGGTGTGAGAGAATTGGCCATCTGCTAGGAACGTTGCCCAGGGGACACCCAGGTGTTTTGATGTTTTACTATCCTTGTGGGAGGCTTCTCTCATGTTCCCACATGGGGAGCTGGAACTGACAGAGGAAGCTCAACCCACTCTCCCCGCATTCGAACTACTGACATGTCGGTCTTCAGAGCATAATAGATTAAAAATTGTCTCTGAAGCTAACTCAAAGAAAAGTATGGCTGAATAAATTTATGTATGTTGTATGAAATTTTCATGGAAGAAGAGAATGCAGGTGCACAAAAAATAGAGGACCCCCCCCCCCCAAATAATAGAAATCTTTAACTGTCCATCAGAAATTTAACTAATGGGCCTTTCAAGAGAGTGATTGGATAATTGTAGCAATACCTATATAATTTTTAAGATCCTTGGGAGAAGGCTCTCTCTCGATGCTATCAGCATCACAAGCATGTTTGACGAAATTACAAGAAGGGTCTTCTTAACAGCTGCTTCCAAGCTTTGCCATTTCCTTCCACAAAATGCTAGGTTAGTCATCACTAGTTATTCACTTTCTACTGGCAAACAAAGATCTTTTTATTCAGATGGGCCTTTGGTTGCTAACTGGTTGTGGAACAAGGGTCTTTCAAATGGGGCAGGGCGCTTCACTGTTTCCCTCATTACTATGCTTCAAATGTGCAAAAAAGAGTTTTAAATGAGTGTTTTTCTATTTAATTTCTTTTTCAATTTTTGTATTCTAAGTTGTTTTAGCTATATTTAGTTCTAATTTATTCTTTAAGCTACTTTAGGCTCCTTATAGGGAGAAATTAAACAAACAAACTCTTATTCCAAAAAGTAAAGAAGCCTATGGCAACATACATTGCATACTACTTTTATTTAGTAATCACCATCAATCCTTACCTTTCGAAACAGAGATGGGTTTCCTTTCCGTATTGTCCAACGTTAGAAGCTTCCTTTCTCTTTCATCCTCCTCACTTTTCAAATTGCTCAAGATTTCCTCCAGTGCCTTGACAATATCAGCAAATGAAGGGCGTAACTTTGGGTCCATCTATGAAAATGAAAATAAGTGGTATTATATCCTGGCGCTGTTATGATGCAATATCTGTATAGTTATTTTGCACATAATTTGACTCTGGATTTGTATTTTTCTTCTAAATATACTCACGTTGCAGCAGTTGAAGGCTAACTGGAGGAAGTTAGGCGGACAATCTCCTACCATATGCTGAAAGGCATCATAATCCAATCCAAAATTCTGAACATGGCAGGAAAAAAAGGTAAAATAAATATAAACATACACTTGGTACTAACCATGTAGGTAAAGATAGTAAATGAGAAAATTATGAAAACTATGACAAAATATGAAAAGCAGTTCAGAAAAAAGCAATACACTGGCAATGTATTGAACTATGTGTGTTAATTCCATATCAATTCTGAATCATATCTATTAAATCTACAGTGCCCCAATCTACACCAAAATCTTCCATGTGGATAATAAGAAGGGGAAAGGAATTTCTTCTTAGTTTGTCAGTTTGTGCACTAGTCTTGCCCGAACAAAAGATACCCTTACCCTCCTCTCCTGAATAGTGTGCCCTCTATTATATGATTCGGGGGACAAGTAACCCAATCCTGGTGCATCCTGCTAAGCCTTCCTTCACAGAACTTAAAGCACATTTTAGTTCCAACATACTACTGTTACTTTTTCTTTAGTCTGCAGCAACACAAAAAGTTTCTGCCTTTATCCATTAACCAGTGCTGGCTCTAACATAACCATGTTGCTTATCTACAACTGGTGTGTTTTGAGTGGTCATCTACACATTCACACTCATGGGGGTCTACCATTGGAAACTACTGGAAAGTGAACATATGGGCAACTGGCCTGCCCTCAACCCTCTAAGAAAATTTGAGAGGAAGGCAATGGCAAACCACCTATTAGTATTCCTTACCTAAGAAAAACCTATTAAAATAATGAGTTAGCTATACGTTGACAAGTGGCTTGAAAGCACACGTTCATTCCACCACAGAATCTGATTTCGGTTTTTAATTTCCATATTAGCAGGTAGTGCCTCAGTGTTTCACTACAAAATTATGAGACTCTCTACACCTTCCATGTGTTCTAACATTTTAAACTGTGTAGCATACTGCATAAAGGACTTTCTACTTTTACCTAATTACATCAGGGAGTCTGGTTCATTTAATCCAGTAACACTCTCGACTTGACACAAGGTTTGATCATCACCAGCTCAGACTATATCCGAATAATGTCCATGGGAAAATGTGAAACTTGAAAATTATGATTTGGCACTTTGTTATGTTTTAATCTGTTTTATTGTTTTATATGTTTTAACTGTTTATATGTGTTAATTGATTTACAATTTAATGTGGTGGTATGCTTATGTTATATGTACAATACGGCACTGAATTTTTGCCACAGTTTGTAAAGCTGCTCTGAGTCCCCTTTGGGGTGAGAAGGGCAGGGTATAAAGTAAATAAGTAAATAAATAATAAAAAACTGCATAGCTGGCCAATCAGTGATGAAACAGCATCTTTTTTATTATTATTATGACTTAATTATGAACATAGTTTTGCAGTACCTCTTGTATAGATTAATTTTGAAATTACCAGTACTTTTAAACCGATCTCTTAAAGAAAGCCTTCCCAAAACTTGTACCTGTCAGAAACATTGGACAACAAGTCCTCTATCAACCCCAGTCAGCAATGCCAATGATTTGGGGAAGTTGTCTTAATACACTCTGGGGGGTGGGGATTGCATTACTTTCCCTAAAATAGTGGACTCCTTACACATTTAGCTTAGGAATTCACCATGGAAGGCTACTTCATACTATGCCAAAATGTCATATACTGTTAATAGCCCATTATAGTGGTGCAATGGGTTAAACCGTTGTGCTGGCAGGACTGAAGACCAGCAGGTTGGAGGTTCGAATCCAGGGAGAGTGTGGATGAGCTTTCTCTGTCAGCTCCACCTACCCATGTGGGGACATGAGAGAATCCTCCCAAAAGGATGGTAAAACATCAAAACATCTGGGCATCCCCTGGGCAACGTTCCTTGCAGATGGCCAATTCTCTCACACCAGAAGCGACTTGCAGTTTCTCAAGTCGCTCCTGACACACACACACACACACACACAAACACACACACAAACACAAATGCCCATAATTAAAACTAAAGGCTAGTACTGCCTACTCCGACCAGCAACTACTTTTATATCTCTTAAGCAGACATCTCTCCAATCAGATCCTTTTAAGGGGAGATGGCAGGGCTTGAATCTGGGGCCTGATATATGCAAAGTAGTTGCTCTGCCACTCAACCATTGTTCCTTCATGCTGATAATTTTCCAGGATCCAAGAAAGCAGGGATATTACTGTATTTCAACTGTGCTTGCCTTAAGAAAGCATAAATGGATTTGGCATTGTAGGGCACTCAACCAAAACCAAGATTTAGCCTTAATCTGGATGAAAATGATAACTCTTTCAGTTGATTCTGCCAGTAAAGATAATAGTATTAGTAACCAGGTCTCTGTTATTAATATTCACAATAAATGGTAAATACAGTCCTCACTGGCAAACTATAATTACATGTTTTGAATGGGGATATGGCAGAAGAGGATTCCATGCCACTCACTGCATGTACAGGATGAATGCTTTTATTTAAAGCCTTGTAGCAGCCATTCATCATATTTCTGTTCAATGCCTCTTTGTAAATGATTACCAAATTAAACTCTTGAACATTCTTCCCTTACCAGCCCTTGTCAGTGCACTTTGCTCACCTCTGTGCGAGGGAGAAAGTCTGGATCGGCCTGGATCCTGGCTATAATTTCACAAAGAATTATTCCATATGAGAACACATCTGCCTGAGGTGGAGAAAGAAAATATGTTTTATTAGAGTCCTCTTCTGATTGCTTTAACTGTAAAAGTTTTCCTCCTCGCATCATAAAAGAGCTCTCCTTCAAAACAGCCCTATGGCATTCACTTCCCACCATTTGCCAAAGGCATAGTTCAAGAAAACACAAGCCCAGGTTAGGAGACCAGCAGTCTTTCTTCTTTGCTCCCTTGGAATAATGGAAGCATACCCAATGAATGACCATTTTAGGATGTGCAGAAAGGCAACTATAAAGAGGTCTCAGTGAAAATTTTCTTCTATAGAATTCTCTGCTTCTTCTATTTAAAACTTGATGCATCTATATAATCTTCTGGATCAAATTGCTTCCCTCCCCCCCCAGTCTATGCTGTAAGGCAGTGATTCCCAACCTGTGGTCCGTGGATCATCAGCGGTCCCCAATAACAAAAATATGGTTCACGGCCTCACCATTATTACACCGTTGCCTCAAAACCACGCTGCCATGAGAGCGACTGGTTTCTTGAAACCCTTTAATGGTGCCGAGGCAATGGGGATGTCGGGAGGGGAGAGGCTGGCTATCCACGAAAGATTACTACTACCACATCAGCTCTAAATTATTAAGTATGGTTTTCTGTGGGAGAGCAGATGGTGACTACTGGATGGCATATTTCTGTATCAGAAACTAGAGCTGATGTGGTTGATCCAATGCAATTTTCTGAATCAGTGCCCCAAATAACCAAACCAAATCTAAAGTTGACCAAAGTGGTCCCTGGTCAAAGTCGTCACTGGTTAAGTGGTCCCTGTCAAGAAAAGGTTGAGAACCACTGCTGTAAAGGGTTGCTAGAGTGTGTGTTCTTTAAACTATACCCATAATACTAGAACTAAAGGCTTTGTGACTGACATTGATACTAGATAATTAGTTCTGATAACCAGAAGAACTTTTGTTTCTTGAGCTCTGAAAATGCTATAGGACTGTCCAAAATGTGGTGAGTGCACTTTTAAGGAAGGCTCCCTCTTAAAACTAATGTACATCTATACAAATGGATCAGCAAAGTTTCACAACAATGTATTCTCTGGATGGGAGGTGAGCAGTATGGTGGTAACCTACACAGGCGCACATTTGTGCAAGCTTTCGACTAAAATCTACTTCATTAGATAAATATATAGTAGCACATGTATTAATATATTTTATTATTATATTTATTTATAATCCGCTTTATCTCCCCTGAAGGAGACTCAAAGCGGCTTTCCTTTGCTCACCACCATCAAGGAAAACAGGAAACACTGCATTATAAATTCATTGTCTTTACATAGAATGAAGCTGTCTTGTAACCTACACAATTCTGAAAACAGGAAAGAGGACAGTCCAACTTGATTCCTTTAAAGTAAAATGCATTAACCTAAGCTACTTGATTTACTGTGATCATGTGAGAACGCCAAAAAAAGACACAAAGGTACACAAACTCCAGCCCTGTCCTCACCCTATCTCCATCAGACAATAATATTTTATTGAAGTGATAGTAACCGAAAACATACCAACCTTTTCATTATATGGCTCATCTCTCAGCACTTCAGGTGCCATCCAGTAAGGAGACCCCACCACTGGCAGCTTCTCACTTTACAGATTTCAATGGGAGATGGTTAGAAGCAGTATTTTATAAGCACTTAATGTGCTCTTTAACTTTCAACATTAAAAATTGGTATAAGCTGAACACATACAAAATACAAAAAAGTTCAGTTTTGGTGTTAATTTACAAATATTTTACTGTTTAATTCTGAAAGGATATATGCTTTCTAGAAGCAGAGAGATTCCATTAAACATAGTGGAGGCAAAAAAAATTAAGCTCAATGTCCAATTTATCTGTATATATTAGCTGAGCTCTGTTTCAAACTATTGCAGTTCAGTCCATTATTGGATCTGCTGACCTATTTTAAGTAGTTTAAATGGGTAAAAACCATATTGTGATAATACTAAATTGTAGAAGTATGCAAAGAATATCCAAGATCTGTTACAAGACTAGTAACAGCCCTTTCACAGCTGACTAGACCAACTTTGAAACTCTGGCCATTGTTATTTCGAATCCTATCTGGTGGAATAATACTGGAACTGGCTTTTAAATGTTTGTGATTGATTTAATAGTATTATGTCTATGTTTTATAATGGTCATGTTGTATGATTTTGTGTTGGTAATTGAAGGCTTTGGCCTATGTTGGAAACCGCCCTGAGTCCCTTCGGGATGATAGAGAGGTATACAAATAAAGTTGATTATTATTATTATTATTATTATTATTATTATTATTATTATTATCTCATCAATTTGCACTTGTGGTACTTTGCAAAAACAGAAACAATTTCAAAGGTGCCTTTTTAATGGGAAAAATTGGAACACAGGAAAAAAGATAAAATGAACAAAATAGTGGTAACTGAATAGACTATTCTTAACAGCTAAGGCCCTTGAATCTACTAGCATTTCCAGTGACTGTTTCATTGTCAGAGTCATCTCATGTAAAGAAAAAATGTATTGGAACATATGCAAAGTCCACTCCACAATCAGTATCTAAGAAAAGCCTGCACCAGCACTAACAGCTGGAAGGTACTGCAAGCCTATATCATGCACAGGGACATCCAAGCACTTCCCTCTTTGTTGAAGTTAACCTTATTTGACCATAATGTAGATTTATGCTGATTACTTCCAGTGATACATCTGTCTTAGTCGATAACAGCAAAACCAGTGAAAGCTCTCGGCCCTCTAAACATTAACCAATTTATTACAGCATACTTTTTTGTGAACTAAAGGCCACTTTATCAGAAAGAGTGAAGTATTATCCCGAATGGGTAGGTACAGTGTACACACATGGGTGTATTTAGGAAAATGTAAACAGTGACTTGGTTTTCCAGTTTTGTTGCTGAACTGAAAGTGATGTTTCAAAGGGAAATTCTAGCATGAAATACCTGGATTAGAATGCTGTTCTAATGCTATTTGGCTAATTATCACGTTTTACAGCTATTGTGAATGGCCACTGAATACATGTATAACACTGTCAGACTGCATGCTTTGCATTTTTACCGTTTTAACTTCTGATGTTCATATGACGTTTAATGTGAAAGAGCACATACAAGCTTTAAGGAAAACATGTTATGCATTTGATGACATGAGCTTTTCATTCATGGAAACGTACGTCGTAATAAGTCTGGTCATTCAGTCTCTACAGACTCTGCACTATTCATGCAAATTCAGCAATTAGAATTGAAAGGCTGAAATCCTTGACCAACATTAAGAAAGACTGGGGCTTATTTACTATCTTCATACACCAAAGATGTGGACAAGACTTCACTGCTGATTTTTTAAAAATGAAAATAGTGCTACAAATGGCCATAGTGTGGTATTCGTGATATCTTATGAGTGTTTTGAATAAGTTAAAACCAACAGACAGAGAATGTGGGGCTCATAGAGTAGGCACTGTTGTTGATTGTGCGGTATTCACTTAGTGGTTATTTATTGTATCAGTTGTAATGTATTTGAAAAACACAAAGTTTTAAAAACTTGGCATTATCCTCAATGTCCTTTGACCAATAGCTGGCCCCTTACCACTTCATTTAATGGTAGAGGCTTGGGATAGTTGTAGTGACGATGACTGTTGTATTTGCTGCAGTTTCTTTTTATATTAAGAAAAAGTACTTGCACAATTTTGTTTTTGTGAGTGGGGAATGGTTTTGTGACTGTGTATTTTGTCAAGTGTTTTGTATATTAGGTTGTGTGTTGGTTTGTTGGTGTATTCTTTGTAAAATAAAAATTAATTAAAAATAAAAACAAAAATAATTTAAAGATTACAATATAACAACTTCAATGGAAATTAACCAGAAGTTTTTTATCCTGAGCCTAAAAAGCATGTTTATTATTTAGCTCAAAATTGTAATGCTACTGATTTTTCATTCTGATTAAATCTGGAAATACTTACCTAAAATCTGGGATTTTCTCTGCCAAGCCAAAGTCACCAACTATAGCAGAATATCCACTCTCATCATGCTTTATCAAACAGTTCTGAAAGAAATAGAAATGTAATGTTGTGTAATTTGAATGTCACTAATAGAAAACTAAAAAGCTGAAACCATGTGTGTGTGTGTGTGTGTGTGAATGAGGATATATTGGGAAAGCACAAAAGCCCAGTTTGTTTTGAGTTCAAATAAGGTATACAGTAATCTTGTACAGTTGTATCATATGTTGATTACAGCACTAAAACACAAGACAGCATCAGGCAGGAGTGGGTTTCTTTCAACTGGCATCCTGCAATCAGATACTCTGGCCTGATCATATTAAAAATTGTGTAGAAAGACAAGGTGGAGACTTTTCAATATTGAATCTTAAATATGCTCTTCTTAAGCACTGAGATGGCCGATTCCTAGTCTGAAACATTATTTGTTTTAACCTGAATCAGATGTACCACATGCAGTTCACTTTGGGATTTATAAATTTACACAAGGTCAACAGAATCAGGCCAACCCAACACAAACTAAAGCTTCTCAATTATGGCCTTTGTTATCTCTCGTCAAAGAATGCATTCATTCAGCTTGCTTGTGGTTAAATATTTGTTCACTGCAAAATACAGCTAAACCCTAGAGGGATAACATTAATCATACTGCAATGCTAAAACCATGATGTAAATTCAGCACACTCAGAGCAGAAATAAACATGTGCTAATAAGAGGTGTTTTACAAGAAAGGTTTCTCTTCATCCTGAATTGGTGCAGTCAATGCCAAGCAATTTTCCAGCTATTTCAACAGCTTTTAAATATAGGATAAAATGAAACTGAGCTTTCCTCTCTGGTTTACAGACTTCATATTCTGAAGATGCAGTAATTTTAGAAGAAATTATCTTGCTGGTCAACAAATAACTGATATTTATTGCTTGGTTTTCTGCATGAGCCCATCTGTCCACTGTGTTGTTTACAACTACTGCAAGGGAAACCTTTAAATCTAGACTAAGAACTGTTGCACTGAGATTAAGAAGAGTACAGAAGTGTATTTTTATATTTTGTAAACAAGAGATTTGGGGAAATCAAGTCAATCTTACATCTCTTTAATTCCTTAGTGCTCTAGATATATTCACCATCTACCACACTCCATCCACCAACAGAATAGTTTCATCTTAATTTTAACTGCTAAAGCAGTTTGCTGAAACTATATACATAGAAGAGCCATCAGTAAATTAAGCCTTGAACTGAAACACTCATGTCACACCCAGTGTTTAACACTATTCATGAAGAAGGCTGTGTTAGTCCTTATTGCACTAGTACATGTTAGCCCAAGTGAGTCTTGAAAAGTGAGATCTCTTTATATTGTCGAAGGCTTTTACGGCCGGAATGACTGGGTTGTTGTAGGTTTTTCAGGCTATATGGCCATATTCTAGAAGCATTCTCTCCTGACGTTTTGCCTGCATCTATGGCAGGCATCCTCAGAGGTAGTGAGGTTTGTTGGAAACTAGGAACATACTAGGTTTATATATCTGTGGAATGTCCAGGATAGGAGAAAGAACTCTTGTCTGTTGGAGGTAGGTGTGAATGTTTCAATTGGTCACCTTGATTAGCATTTGATAACCTGACAGTTTTTAGGAGTGGCTTGTTAGTGCCTGAGGGAATCCTTTGTTGAGAGGTGATTAGCTGTCCCTGATTGTTTCCTGTCTGGAGTTCCTGTGTGTTTGAGTGTTGTTCTTTATTTACTGTTATAATTTTAGAGGTTTTTAATATTGGTGGCCATATAGCCTGAAAAATATACAACAACCCAGAGATCTCTTTGGTTGCAATCTTTCCTGGCTCACTTAGTATTAAATGTCAGAGGGCATTTTTTTAACTGTACATTTCTGAACATGTTTTACCACACTAACCAAATTAAGGCACAGAAAGTGATGTTATCATTGATGAATTTGTCTTTGCACATCTGCAAATATTCAATGTCAAAAATGCCTAGCAATTTCTTAAACTCTTCCTTTTTTGCTTATCTGAAGTCACTGTGGCTATAGATAAAAGAATTGTATTGAAAGTATTACATGCATCTGATGTGAATTACGAGAAAGTTAAAATCTAACATACAAATACACTGGGCCCTTGGTATGTGCTCAGATTGGGTTCCAGTACTCCACATGAATACCAGAATCTGTGGATGCTCAAGTGTCATTACATCCATGGCATAGTAAAGGGTGTCCCTGATATAAAATTGTGAAGTCATGGTTTGCTTTTTAGAATTTGGGGGAGGGGTAGTTTCAAGTCAATAGTGTTTGAATCTTCAGATGTAGAATCCATGAATACTAAAGGCTGATTGTATAAAATATTTTTACTGGTACTCTAGCAGAGTTTTGCAATATATGGCAACTTTGGCTGCTTATGTATTGTCCTAACTTCAGTCAACCTTCCATAGAAGATCTCTAGGAAGCTTGTACAGATACTGATACTGAAACTTATTTTGGTTTTCTGACCAGTCTGCCTAACCCCAATACCAGGAAAAATAGTACATCAAATTGTACAGGTCTGTCTGCAAGTAGTTTGATGACAATGCAATGATCAGTAGGAACCAGCGTGGGATGGTTAAGAACAAATCCTGCTAAACAAGTATCATTTATCTTCTTCAATGAGGTCACTATTTTAGTAGTTGGTGGGAATATTGTAATTGTCTGGTTTTCAGCAAAGCATTTTATAAGGTCCCCATAATATTTTGATTACCAGAATGTGGAATACATGGGAATATTAACATATGGATTCATAATTCATTAGAAAACCCATATTCAAAGGTTCATCATTAATGGTTGCACTTAAAACTGGGAGAAGGTCTTGAGTGGACCTTGAGATCTATCCTAACACCATACTCCTCAATGCTTTTATTGATTATTTAGATTATGGGATGTAGCTTGTCAAGTTTGCAGATGTCACAAAACTGGGAGAGGTGGCTAACCCATTGGAAGATAGCACAATTGAAAAGGACGTAGACAAGCTGGGAAATTTGACAGAAATTAATAAAATTAAATTCAAAAGAAACAAATAAAAAACTCTGAGGTCACAAAACCACATGCACAGTACAGGATGGGGGATACCTAACTCAATAGTACATCATGCAAAAAGGACCATAAGTCCTTAAACATGAGCCAGCTGCATTGAAGAAGGTGAATGCTATAGCCTGCATTAAAAGAAGCGAAGTTTCAAGGTCGAGGGAGATAAAAGTCACACTATATTATGTGATAGAAAGGCCTCAACTAAAGTACTGCACCTCATTTTAAGAAACTGAAACAAGTTCAGAGAAGGGCAATGGGGATGGATAAAACATATGAAGAACAAAATATCTGACGAAAGATTGATAAGCGGGGCATATTCAGCTTTGTGAAGAGAATACCTCAAGGGCTGTCAAAAGAGGAGGGCACACATTTGCTTTCTGCTACTCTAGAGGACAGGACTGGGCCCAACTGTCTGAAGTTAGAGTAAGAGATATACAGCAATGGAACCAATCCCTAAAGAGATGCTGAGGTCTCCTCTGAAAAGTCACTGGACAGCTACCTGCTGGGAATGCCTTAGAGATACTGTATTGAGTAGGGAGTTGGACTAGATGGCCCATGTGACCCTTTCCAACTAATTCTATAACTCATATACATAAGACAATTAGAATGAGAAATATTTGTTAAATTTACTCTGGGTACTTAATGTTTCTATATGGTTTTAGAAAGTAAGTCTTTATCATGAAGGCCAGGGCTGGGGAAAAGGTGGGGTATAAATAAATAGTAATTATAAAATAATAATGACTTAATTTAAACAGTAATAGGAATACATTTGGTCAGTAGGAGTGGATAAGGGGTTGTATTTCACTTGAAAAAACAGGAGTGCATTTGCTGGTAGTCTGTTTTCAACCACAATTCAAAGTGCTGTCCTTTGGAACATGAAATTGATATCTAAGGATATCAGTATTTTCCATTTCCCCAAACCCAGAGAAGTTCTTTTGTATGTCTTACCATTCAAGACAGTCTGAAAGAGGGCCAACAGAAACAAGGCCAATAAGAACATTCATTGTTCATCAAGCCAATACCATCTACTGACAATTCCTAAGCAGAGCTTTCCTGGGCTGAATTTTACCAAAAAATAAATGTGAGATAGTCTTCAGAAAAATTATGCATTCTGCATAACCCTCTGACTATTCCTAGACAGATTCAGGTTCCTTCAAACATACTGCTACACTGCTCATGTAAAATGGTCCAGCAATACATTAAAAAACCTGTCTATGGAGATCTCTTCATTATAGAGGCAGTGTTCTTTTGCACTTTACATGATTCAAGTTGTGCTTTAGGCAGAAATTTCTGCTGAAAGTCTCGTAAAGGAGCCCAAAAAGGCTCTAAAGAGTTAATAAATGTTTATACATAAACAGATGTGAGAGAACATAAAGCTCTTTTAGTGTGTTGGGGGAGCTTAACATCTGTTTTGCAGTGTAATCCTGCAAAGGAAGTGAAACATTCATCTTTTCCTCCCTCATAAAGAACAGATAGCTACTAGCAATAACTTCTCCATGCCACATGTCGTTTCCATTGGTTTTCCCATTGTGTTATAGAAAGCAAATTCCTCTGAAAGGAACTCAGGTGTGTTACTGCAGTTGCATTCATATTTGCAAGAACAAGAATCAAGTGCAACTTGTTCTGTCAAATGGCAATGACAAATTAGTCAGGCAACAGCAAACATATACTTCCACATTTTAAGATTATAGTAAGAAAGTATTATATAGCCATTATATAATGGTGATAGAACCTAAATAAATGCTGCTATCTAACAATAATATATATTCTTGCCAATACAGATGTTTAATATTATGTGGATTTGCTAGGACAGAAGGTGAGAAATTAGTGGAGTATTAATATATGGTCTATAAAATTAGGATGTGGTAATGGGAAATTTCTGTTGATAAAAACTTGAAAAACGGCTCAACAAAAACATAAGAAAACATGCACATTCATTTTGAATTCCACACAATGTGTTCTCAAATGTGCTTAAATCAATCTAGAGTAGGATCAACAAAATATAATAGACCAATGGGGTGAGCAGAATTTACATATATGGTGACTATTCTATTCAGGACTAACAATTAGTTTTAAGTGTATATATGTGAATGTATATATATACACACAACACATGCCCCTTTCAGAGAGTTCCAAGTGTTGCCCAGAAGTTACCTTTTGTCATCTTTACAACATATAGAGTATATATTATTATCTCTTACAATGCAAATGTGAATACCGAAACGGCGGCTTGCCTAATACATCTAGTAAATTTATAATTGAAATGCGTTTCAAACTGTTGAGCAGCCTCTTAACCAGGATACTACAATCAATGTGTAAGACATTACCAAAAAGAATTCCATTAATGTGATTTCAGTCTACATATTTTATAATATTAAATAATGATGCAAGCTAAATACTGTTCAGCTAAAATGTCTTATTCTAGTATTTCAAATACAGTATAAACTAAAAATTTCATGGCCAAGTTAATATTTGCCTCTGTTTGGAATGACTTTCATGAAGAATTACAAAATTAGTATAGTGAAATCTGGAAAGAGTCTTATAAACAAGAGAAAGAAGTTTTGGATATTTTTCCTTCCAACACCAGGGACAATAACTCTTTATTCCACTGTATTCCATCTCTACAGAATTGGCAGACTGTAAAAGCACATCCCAGCTGGTCATTTGCAGCGCTGACATGTCAGCTTCTATTGTTAACACTAATGCATCTTATTTATGGAATATTTTAAAAATCATAATCAGTCTCTCACGTTTTATGACAGTTCCTTTTATAAGTTAGTGTCATCACAAAATATAGTCCTTGGGATGATAAATTTCTGACTGTTCTCCAGCAGTTTGTAATTATTCAAAGCTCAAAAATTACAAAGAATTTGGAAAGAAAAATGAATAATTTCCATACTACTAGCTACAACTGGAAATAACAGCAGGGTGAGAGATCTTGAAAATAATATTTTGCACAAGATTTTGGATTTCTGTTTCAATTGTTGCATGCTTTCAATTGTTTCCAACTTACAATGACGCTAACCCGAACTTATTGCAGGATTTGCTTGTCAAGATTTGTTCAGAGGGGTTTTTGCCCTTCTCTGCCTCTGAGCCTGAATGTGATTTGCACAAGTCACCCAATGAATTTTGATGGCTGAGTGGGGATTTGAACCCTGGTCTCCTGGAGTCTTAGTCCAACACAAGCTCCTATTGCTGTTTTACCAACATCTGAAATAGCTTCTGCAGTGAAACCGCCAACTGGCTCAATATAACCTGGCAGCAGCTTAATTTGCGTGCAGAACATTAATCTGCATTACTGGGAGCATTTAGATACACAACATGAAGCCTTTAGGAAAGGTGTACAAGACAAATTTCTGTATCTGCAATTTCTTATTCTTTCAAACAATTTAGTTGTCTAAATTTCAGTAAGAAGGGGTTAGGATAATTTTTGGCAATCAAACTAAGGAAACTTGAGTCGTGCAACTGTGTTCCCAGAAACACAATTCTAACACATTTACTTTGACCTCTACTTCAGGCTAGTTTCCTCTCAGACATCTACACAACATGAGTTTTTCTGGGAAAGTTTAATCCACTAAACTATGTTTCACTGTTTTCTCACAATCCTTTAAAGTGACAATTTATGTAACGGTTTTACTGCTGGAGGCACTGAGAGGGACAGGGAGAGCAAAACTACCCCACAATATTAGCTTTCCATGAAGTAACACATCTGTTGGAAAATGATTTAATGTGAAGAAATAATAGTACCTTAGATGTTAGATCTCGATGGAAAATGCCTTTATAGTGAAGATAACAAAGTCCTAGAGCAATGTCCAAGGCCAGTTTCACTCTCACCATCCAGGGAAGATGCTGATTGCCGTCTAATAATTGTTCCAAGTTACCACAGTTGATATACTGGATGAAAAAAAATATTCGTCATTATAACAACAAAATTACAGTTAAAATTGGAGTTCAAAACAATGCATTTCTTGAGAGCAAAGGTAGTTGATTTTTTTTTACTAGGATGTTAAACAATTTTATAAGACTGTATAAATAATATACTAAGTTGTGGACACAAGCAAATCATGAGGAAACTATATGAGGACATTTCAAAGTTGCTCAGATGGAGGTCATGGGCCAAGCAGAAACATAGCTATTTCTACTTTATAGATTTTTTTTTTAGAAAAATGCAAAAGCAGGACACTTCACTGATGATTCTATGTCCAATAGCAAAATGGCAAAAAAAAAAAAAAAAGACACAGCCATTCTGACTCTTATAATGTCTACTTCCTTAAAATGCTCATGTATTAAGAACTGTAAGCAAATACAACAGTCTTTCATAACAGAGCCTAGATTTCCATTGCTTACTTTTTGCCAACAGGAGAGGGAGAGATTGGAGGAGTGGATTAACAATTCTTTCTCCCCCATTATTTGCACAATAACACGTTCTGGTCTAGTTTGATTATTTGGGAATCTTAAGATTCACAAATTGCTCAAAACAGCATACCATTGTGAATTATTTCCACAAGCTAACACATACAATAAAACCACACAGATGTATTACCAAAACATTAATGCACAACATTCTGTATATTACACACCTCCTTTAATAAATTCAGACTAAAAGATTGCATTCCAAATGCCAATACCTTAATATTAAGCAAGGACTAATATAATTCATTGTACTGGAAATCAAAGAACTGTTAATTTCAAACTGTCCAAATTACTCAAGGATCTAAGGACCAAAACGACATGTTCTTTGGCTGGCCACCAAACTACTTGGCCCAGATTTTAGGAGCCAGCTCAAGTTTCTCAGTATCTTATGCCAGGAGTGTTCAAGGCCACCTCACAAAAAATGTAGTTGTTTACCACTTGTGGACCAGGATTATGATATGCAGTGATCTCTGCTAAAAACGAATTAATTCAGCACAGTAGAAAGATATGTCAATTATTCTTTGGTTGCAGCAAGTACTTTGTTGAAGTAAATACAAGGTTCAGCTATATTAGAGCAGCATCACATCTGATGCAATGAGAAGCTGTGTATAGTGCATACTACAATAAGTGTATAGGAACCATGCACATGTTATAGTCAGAAACTGATGCCATACTTTTCCCTCTCCCCCTGCCAAGAAAGGTTTTTTTTTTTTTGGGGGGGGGGGGAAGGTAAGTATATTCATAACACTGAAGCTGTGACCAAAGACAGCCCCAAAATAAAACTTAGGGATTACACTACTACATAGGTTATTGCTTTTTATGCTAAATGAATAATCAAGGTTGTTGTTTCTTTCAGTCTGCAGGAAACAACGTTTTGTCCATTTCTGCGGCAGACCTTTTTACACTTGCTAGCAATTCATTGCTATATACCAGACTGCATTTGCTTCTTAGAGTCGAGGCATAAAGGGAGCACTGTATTGACAGCAGACCCACTACTACCAGAGTGATGCTAAAGACAGCTAACCTCTCAGAAAAAGACACTTAAAAAATGAATGAAAGTGCGGGGAACTGTGGTTGTTTGAAAGAGTAGATTTGGCACTTCCTTATTGTTTACATCTTTAAGAAAAGTATGCCTGCCCGTATTTTTATTTTTAATCAGCTTACACAGCTGCTCAGCTTTTACTTGCTTCTGGGAAAGATATATATGAAAGAGAGAGAAATGGAGGGAGTAAACATCACAGCAGTAGAGATGGGAGAAAATGGGGCGAGACCCAGCCTAGATTATTTATGTTAAGGCAGCTGAAGTGGTTCTGCTGACAGTCTGGGGCAAAGGTAACACTCTTCATGTCAGGTCGGTAAATAGCCATCTAGCTCTTAATCTTGGATGAGCTTACCAACCTGATTTATATCAGAGAGTTCTTGGGGATAAAATTGGAGATGCATAAGTATAATAAATATCTCCTAACTTTGCTGTTCTGGGTTCAAGAGCCAATAGTGTGAGAAACAAGGAAGGAAACTTGCAATGATTTTACTGCAATTGTATCTTCCTGATCAAGTGTGTTACTCTATAGTCCATCTGGTTTTAGTGTATTTGAAAGCTGATGTTTGGGGCAGCACAGAGATTCTACAAGTGTACTACCAAACAATTTCCTTTCCTAATCTACAATCCTCCCTACTAGTTATCCTGGAGAATGTCAACATAAATTCGACTTAGAAACATTTGCCTGGCAATCGGGGATCAGTCCCAACTGGTGCTTGGCTCCTCTCATTCAGAAAGGTGCACTACAATAGCTGAGCTGCAATCAATGAATCACTACTTGGTGGGGTTTACACTTACTGGGCCCTAAAAGCTTCTCTAAAGGCCAGGGAACAATTAAAATGGTGTATTCTCAGAAGCTGGTTAATACAAATCATTTCCTGACTTTTTCTGTTTTTTTTCTGTCACAAGATTAGCCCGTGGAACAAGAAAATGGCCTGCTATAATTGTAACTGAGCACTCTCTTCCATCGAATAGAGCAATATAAACTCCCTGTGTGTGTATGGGGGGTATCATTGGTAATGAAGATAAATGCATGCCTATAAGTAATTTTTTTATCTGTAGAGTCAAGCACATGGGTTATATATCCGCGTAATGGCTTCAATATTGAGTATATTTAAGGAAGAATTTTCTCAGTGCAGTTTCATTTTTGGAAAAAGCTCTGTGTAAATATAAACTTAACAAAACTTTAGCAAAAAATATGTAGGACTTTTTTGAGGGGTGGCAGGAGTGTATGAAAAAAAAGAGCAAGGTCAATGCCTTGAGCATTGGCCTATGACTCTGGAGATCAAGATTTCAATCCCTGCTTGGTCATAAAAACCCATTGGGTGACCTTGGGCAAGTCACACTTTTATAGGCTCCGAGGAAGACAAAGATTTCAACAAATCTTGCCAAGAACACCCCGTCACAGGTTCACCTTAGGGTCATCATAAGCTGGAAATGACTTGAAGACACCAAAACAACATTAAATTTTCCCTCAAGTTTCAATAAGCTTCTGGCACATTTTAATTCTGAGGCAGCCTGAAGATACTGGGCACGTTATCTCTTGCAGCTGCAAAAGGTTTGTTTTGGTTTGGTCAAGGCCATAATCAGACTCACAAGTTGAAAAGCCTTTTCTATCATGTCTGCTGGATATAAAAGGGAACATAGGCAAAAAGATAAAAAAAAATAAGCTTTATGCCCTATAAATGATTAAGTGCAATGTTATTGGTTGCTATGGGTTAAAGGTATAAATCTAATTTTGCTCCTTCAGCTTTATGGTTTCACATCTCACATTATTTTTCGGAATGTTTAAATGTTTTTTAAAACCTTTTTTCAACTTTTATTGACTTTGTATTGTTCTTATCATCATCATTATTAATATTATCATTATTTCAAGTTTTGGTCCTTCATGGTTTGTATTATAGTGTTGTGCTTGCTTTACCATTCAGAGTTTTGTACTTTCCTTATGCTTTGATTCTTGTAGGTCCAAATCTTTTCTTGTGAAATCACAGCATACTATCTGCCCTTGGTAGTTTCCATGGATACTAAAATTCATGTATTCTCAAGTACAAATATATACAATGCTGTTGTAAAATATACAAAACGGCAAAATCGAGGTTTGCTTCTGGGATTAAACATAAAACTTTAAAACCATGGATGATCGAATCTGTGGATACAGAGAACTAAATGTATACAGCCAACTAAGCTATGCTTTTTAAAATATTGTCTTGTTATATTTCAAAAAGAGTTACTATGTTTCTCTATCTTTATTCCATGGTACCTATTTTTCTGGAGGGTGTTGTTGCTGTTGTTTTCTGCAGGCTACCCTTGATCTTATTACAGTCCCAACCAATTAGAGAATGATACTATTTGAGAATATTTGCCTAATATTTTCCAAATCAGGCTGAAATGTAGGTACTGGAATGGTGACAGTTCTACTTTACAGAGTTGGCATATCCAGACAGAAATAGAATATTTTAGGTTCTTATACAAACTAAGGGGACATCTACCCCAAGGCTGATCTTAAGTTGAGTACTCCTTATCAGTACCAGGGGGGCAGCATGGCCAGCCTCCAGACAGTTGTGGAGATGGGAACATGTCCAGGCAGTCAAGCACTGTCCATACCACCCAGCCACCCAGCCACCCTTACCTTTACCATCATATCACTGTCACAGTAATGACCATGGAGTGCATGAAGTGCACTCCATGGTCACCGCTCTGATCATCGTTTCTCCTCCAGTGCATGTCAAAGCGCCAACATGATTGGAAGGGGGAGGTGGGAAAGAAGTAGGGATTATTCTTCTCCCTCCCCCACCTCCGAATTAGATAGTGTTGACACTATCATCAGCACTGGTGAGGAGCAATGACCAGGAGCAATTGTGCACTCCATGACCATTGTTATGATAGCAACAGATAGTGACAGTAAATGCTAACCCTTGTCCAGGCTGCCTGAGCCGGGAATGGTGTACACAGAAGGGATGAGTTCCAAATCGGAGCCAGCTCAACTATTTATACATGGCCAATTTGTGGGGATGCGCTGATGTATTTCCTCACTTCAGTTAATGTGAAGCAAGGCTGTGTTAAGTGGCACTGCTTCATATATATGCTGATTTGGCTTTGTAAATCATGTGGACGCCAAAAGGTCCATTCACCACTGACCCACCTTCATTTGGTCCGTGTAGATGGGCCCTAAGACACAATATCCCTTTTATGGTAAAATTCAGACGCAGCCATGTGAGTCTGGATCAGTATGCAAAGGGATCTTTCAGCAACTTTGAAACTAACTGAGAGAAATAAATTAATAGCACACACGTTTGTAGACTTAAATATACTTCATCACATGTATGTGTTTATATACCGTTGTCAAATATGCACATTACATTAAGTATTTCCAATCTGTGGGTCACTGTTTTGTTTTCCACATTTGATGACCATTTTTAAAATGCAATCCCATGACACCAAT